AAAATATTAATAATGTTCATTTATCAATTCGTGGATGTTTCTTTAAAATTCCAAATTTTCCAACTACTAAATTTACAACTATGAAAACAATAAAACCACCTGATTATTGTCATTTAATAGATATAATGGATAAACATCATGCAAAACGTTTATTTAATCGTGTTGGTGGTACATTGAATATACCAGAAATATTTAATTCAACACAAAATAATAATCAACCATTATATTTTATTCTTGAATTTAATAAAAATATTTTTATTCGCCATATTCAAAATATATCTATTCTTACAGATAATCATCATATTCAACAAATTCGTATTGAATTACAAAGTAAAAATCGACAATTATTAAAACGTATTGATATGTCCATATTTAAACAAACATTAAACACAGCACTTTATGCACCAAATTATCCAATACATGTGAAATATTTAAAAGTAACCATAATAAAAGGAAAACCAAATAAAAATATTCGTTGGTCAATTATTGGTTGTTTTGATAGAATAAAAAAAGTTAAAAAAGTTAAAAAAATTCCAAAATTTACTTGGTGGAAAGGTAAAATATGATATCAATCTATTAATATTACAGCAGATTAGCTTGAAAAAATGTTCAAATGCAGATCCAATCGAATCATACTTTGCTACTCTCAATAAAATTTTCTAATCGGATTCGGATAGTCATTGTAAAGATACGAGATAGTTTTTTTTCGACTTTTTTGTATTCGGAGACTAGTATACCTTACACATTTCTCAGAGTAGAGTTCATCAGATCCGGGACCGACTCGACGAGATATAAGCGAAACTCTTTTATGTATTTTAATTTTTTCATTCAAATAGTCTCATGTATTCATTCGAATATATTGGCTGGACGCAATGGTTATCATCCACGAAAATCTTTAACTCCATTTATCACTGGAACACCTTTACCAATTGATGGTAATTTTCAAAATTTAATGACTCATAGTATCGGTATTTCGTATTCTGAGATACGCAAACCTATAATTATTGAAATTGATTTTCCATCGGGAATTATCGGTCGTTTATATGAAGTTGGTATTGAATCAAGCAATGTCTATCGAATACGTGTACAACTTGTTGAAATACCAAATGGTATCTTGTATACTTTAACATCACCACATTATAATAGAACAGATAGAAAGAATACAAATCCTCGTTTAACAGGATTTCCACCTGTACATTCTTCAGGTATTCGAATTATTCTATTAGATACGATTGATGGTCGTCCACCACGAAATGTAAAAGTTTTTACAAATGGATGCTTTTACAAGAGTTCAGTTAAATATACAACTATACAAACTATGGGACCTATTACAACAGAAACAACAAAAAAACCAAAAACTAGTAAATATTTATGAAAAATTATATTTAAGACTTGATTTTATTTTATTTTTTCATAGCAACAATTAAAACAATATGTCGTTATACTGAATGGACACGTTGGGGACATTGTTCAGTTAGTTGTGGTAATGGAGTACAAATACGTGCACGAAATCGACTTTCAGGTACAGGATGTAATGATACTTTAATGGACTATCGCATGTGTCAATTACAACCATGTATGTGTATATTAACAAAAGATTTTTATATGGCTGCTACTGGGAAGAAAGTACCAGCGAATAGTAAATATATTTTAAAGTTATTTTTATATGTATAATATTTATTTTTGCTTTATTATTCTTAAGATATTGTTGGTTATTTAAAAGATGGTAAAAAAGCCGTACATATTGGAGATATTTTAGATACTGGCACGATAGTTTATACACATCATTGTTTACAATTTATTTGTTCTAGTGTTGGACTTGATATGAAGAATTCGACTGATTGTAAACGTAAGAATTCATGTTTTCTTTTGTTTAAAAATTTTTGAAATATACCTATCATACCTATATTAGAAATGCAAGAAATTTAAAAAAATACGAATTCATGATAGTTGCTCTCGTGACATTTTCTTTCTTACAGCTGTTAGTTAGAACTACGAATAATCAAAAACAATAAGCAAAGTACTGAAGTTATATACAAACTTCCGCTTCTTACTCACTCTTCCTATGTTCGCGAATCGTAACCTCAATATGTGACCTGGCATTATCCGTGATCTTCGTTCTAAACTTCATCTGAATCTCTTCTCCGGAGTACAACAATCATGCTAACAAAAAAAAATACATGTCTTGTCCAAATATCTATATCTTCTGATTTCCTTGAGTTCTGCGTTCATTTTAAAGTTATGGATGTAAACTTGAATAGCCAATATCTGAAATGTGAATACTGCTGAGTTCCTTTTTTCTTGATCTTAGACAAATGCGTTTATCTTGATTGGTCTCCTTGGAGTTCATGCCAAGGTGATTGTGGTAATGAACATCAAAAAGGTGTTCAATATCGACAACGTCTACCTGTACATATTCTTACTGGCTCACGTCTATGTGAACCACAAAAAGAATATCGTTCATGTCAAACATCACCTTGTTTTGGTTCATGTATTCTTTCGTCATGGTCAAAATGGAGTCCATGTTCAAAAACATGTGATCTTGGAATTCAAACCCGTTCGAGACATTATTTATCTCTTCAACCAAATTGTACGGATAATTTAGAAGAGAAACGTGATTGTAATCCTCAGTGTTGTCAATCAAGTTAGTAGAAAACTATTTTTTTGCACAATTTTTCAAAATAATGTGTCAATTAAAACAGATAGAAAACCTACATGGTCAGAATGGAGTCTATGGGAAAATTGTAGCCAAGCTTGTAATGGTGGTGAACGAATACGTTATCGAACATGTATTAAGGATACAAGTCATTGTCAACAACAGATAACATGTGATGGTTCTGATAAACAAATTGAACCTTGTAATACAGAAAGTTGCCGTAAGTAAAAAAGATCAAGAAAAAACAAAGAATGATTAATTGATAAAACTTTCAGCTCAACAATATACATGTTCAAATGGACAAATAATGAGTAATTGTAGTAATGCTTGTGGTCATACATGTAATACATTAACATGTCGTTCATGTAATGAACCATCTATGTGTGTATCTGGTTGTGTATGTCCTGATCCATTAGTTATGAATGCCTTTGGACAATGTGTTCAACTAAATGAATGTTTATGTCAAACATCGGACGGTAAAACTAATCTTGTTTCTGGTCAAACGATGTTCGATGAAAATAAATGTGAAGATTGGTATGATCTATAACTTTGAAAAGAAAAACGAAGAAAGTTAAGCTACTCGTTGTTTTTGTTTCTTCCATTAGTTTATGTTCTAATGGTTGTCTCGAGTGTCATCCGTCTTCAAAAGATTGTTCAACATGCCAATGGAGTGAATGGACTCCATTCGGTGTTTGCTCAGCAAAATGTAATGGGACGCAAACACGATATCGTTCACGTGCATGTGTGGGTTTACAACCTGAAATTGAACATGAAGATCAACCATGTTCAACGAATGAAACATCATATAGAAAAGGTTGTGAACAATGTTCTTGTGATGTAACTACTAGTGAAGAAATATGTCATGTTCAATGTGCTATAACACCTGATGTTTGTTCAAATCTAACAAATGATCCATTTAGTATATATGAATATATACCACCAGCTGATGGTGAATGTTGCGGTTCATGCAATCGAACAAATAGTATATTGGACAACGAATTTCTGTTTTCTCTACGCAAAGATAATCAAATTTATGTTTTTTTTTAATTTTAGAAACGGAACCATGTTCAGTACAAGAACTACCATCAGAACAAATCACCTATAGTGATTGTGTTTCAATAAATCCAATAGCTCGACAACAATGTTTAGGTACATGTATATCAGGTATGACATGTCGTTGTTGTTCACCATCGAAAATAACAATGGAACAAATTCCAGTAGAATGTCAACGAATAGAAAATAATTCAACAATTACTTTTATTAAAGAAATACCTTATGCGAAAATTAATTCATGTTCTTGTCAAGAATGTATTAAAAATCTCTAATTATAATAATAAAATATTCATTACTCTTTCTTTGGCTGAAGATTTCATTGAAACTCTGGCTTCTTTGTTTGCTAATGACGAAAGAAAATGTCAATAATTCTATAAATATTCACTAAGGTATTTTCAAATCAGAGCAACAGATTTCGATATTACATTATCTATACAGTCAGTTCAGTTAAATATAACCTTAATTAAACTTTTAAAGTGCAAAACAATTGGTGGATATGGATGTGGGGATATATGTGTCAGTGACTTGTAGAATTCAACGTGCAACCATTCACCAAGATACCAAAACTTCACCCTCGCCTATTCCATACTCACATGTATACTCATCTTTGTTAACCTCGACATTGTGTGCGGAGTTTCAAGCACTATCTTTTGATAAGAAAAAAAAGTTTTTCACTGCAAAAGAAAATACACGAAAGGTTTCAAAAATAATAAAGAGATGATTTATTCTTTGCCACCTGTTATAAGCTTTAAAAAAGCTCACACATCTAAATTAATAAATGAAAAGATTTTTATTCAGATTCGACTTTGTATCTCTAGCAAAGAATGACTTTTTTAAAAGCATTTAAGAAGTTTCACACAAACGTAATATATGAAAGCGGAAAAAACCGTAAAAGTTCTATTAATAAAAGAAAATGTTAATTAGCTTTCAGAAAAGAGATGATATAAATAACTGTTTAGATATGTATTATTATAAGAAACCATGCAAATAATTAAGATCAATGTAATTATTAATCGTCTCCGAGGTCTCGCTGATCCATCACTAATAGTAAGAAAAAATAAATAGCATCAGGTAGTTTATCCGAATAGATTTTCAAATCATATTTAACACGATTCGATAGGAGCGGTAGAGTACGAGGTCGCCATTCAGCTAATAATTCATCTTGGTTTTTAGAATAAAGTCTTGCTGTACTCGAAAGACTTTTCCATTTTGCAATAAATTGCTTATTATTATATTCCACTGTGTAATAATAAGATAAAAAACAAGTGTATTTTGTTATAATTCCATCTGTCTATTTATTTAACTTGCAATCATAAACAGAAAATGTAACATTAACTTTCCACTCTATCCATATACCTTCAAGATTAGCCATTATATTTTTTGCAGGATAATCAACAAGTATAGCAATATCAATATCACTCGACGAAACTCTTAATCGATATAAAGATGTTTTTTCTTTTGAATCAAATATGTCAAATCCATAAAATCCATTTTGATTGATTCTTCCATTTGATACTAATACATACGTACGATTCGGATTTATCGATTCAATATATTTAACTAGAAGAATAAATAATAATAAGCAAGCAATAATCTTCATGATGATCATACACTAAAATTAGATATATCTTTCTTTCTTTCTTTTTATATCAATCTTCTCGAAGTTCGATTGTTCAGTTATTATATTGATGTAAACACTTACTGCTTCAATTGTCTCATATAGCATCAACATAAGAAACAAGTAGCAGTTTCAAAGTTGTATCTAGATATTCTAGTCCAGAGAAAAAATTTTTACCATTCTAGGAGAGGAAACAAACACTTGTTGGACTATAAAATATAATAACGACCAACTTCAAGAAGGATAAACTTAATCATCGTAGCAGCGATGTTTCTTCCGTCTTTACGCTGAATAAAATATTGAGCATGTGTATTGAATAGAAAAGGTCATTAGGATCAAATATTTTTTACTTAGTTGATAATCCACGGCACAATCAAAAAGAAAAAAAGAAACACACTGATATTCTATCCGTGTCTGCTTGATTGCGGGCGATTTTTCTTAATTGGAGGAAAAATGTGTCCGCAAAGGAGAATCAGGGAGTATAGACAAAAATGACCGCATTTTGAAAATTGTCCGCAAAGCAGAATCGAGGCAGAGAATGAAAATGTCCGCATTATAGAATCAAAAAAAAGTAGAAATAGTAAGAAAATTAGTACAGACAAATCGATTCTATCGACGATAATCAGTAATGATTCGATTAGAACCGGAACACGCACAACAACGAACAACTCGTCCAAAAAGGTTAACTTCAGTTAATAATGAAAATATTTTAGTACAAGCAAAAGAAGATTATTTAAATGGTCTACTAGATTTAGATGGTTATCAAAAAAGACTACGTTCTCTTTGTTACCGATACATTCACATATTGGATACATCTGACAAAGATGACGAAGATTATGAACCAAAGCATAGTTGAATGTTGAATCATCTCGTACTACTTGTATCTTTCTCTTTCTTCACATAATAAATTTTTTCTTGATTCTATAATGCGGACATTTTCATTCTCTGCCTCGATTCTGCTTTGCAGACAATTTTCAAAATGCGGTTATTTTTGTCTATACCCCCTGATTCTGCTTTGCGGACATTTTACCTTAATTGGTTAAAAAAAGTGTCCGCATTGTAGCTGTAGCCATTCTATCATCTTGACAATAGAGATAAATACTCCGTTCTACAATATGTTCTCAACAAGATGAATTCAGTCCATTATAAGCAAGCATGCTCCATGTTTTGAGAAAATCATTGAAGATTTTGTTTGGATAATAATCAGTCATGAACTATAATCAATAGGTATTAATCTTTCTTTTTCCATTTTATATCAGATCAATCGTTCAAAATGGAAACAACTATGACGATACGTCTCTAACCTGCGTAATGAAACTACATCCACTATTATTTTGTAGTCCAATGTTTATTGTTTTGTTAGTATATTTTGCAAATTGCGAACAAATTGGTCACAACATCCGCTTTAATATAATTGAAGAATATGACATGTCATATGGGAAATTGTTATCTTGAATTGTTTTTTAATGATGCGATCTTAGCTGAGTGTGATAACGTTTTGTGTCTTTTTTCCACACCTACATACAGCCATATCCTCAAAAGTGACTGGGTTTTATAAATTAATGTCTTTACAATAATATCGACTTGATTTATGATAAGATGAGAAAAAATTTACAATCACCCTTGCATTATAAACAAGCGTGTGAAATTGAAAAAACAACAATTCCTTTACATGGTTTTGTCGACTTGTACCATAACCTTGATATGACCTACAAAAATATGAGAGGCTATCCAAGAGCACTTTCATTTTATGAAAAGTTACTTGGAATAAATGGAAATATATTGTCTGTCAACCATCCTCGTTTGATTTTTCATTACAACAATAAAGATATACTTTAGAGGAGATTGGGAATTTATTCGGAAGTTCTCTCAGTTTTTGGAAAAGTAATCGGAATCTACAGAAAAACGCTTGCTCTAAATTATCTCTATCTTGGTTTAGCTTACAGCAATATCGGTGTAGTGTGTGATAACATGTGACACTATTCAAAAGTATTTTCGTTTTTATGAAAACGCTGTTGAGTCTAAAAACGTTCGTTTTCTCCAAATCGCTCTAACCTTCAAGATTTGTTCTTAGCAATCGAATCCTTCAAATGGTGTTTTAACGAATTTTATCACAGCGATAATTTGATTCTTAAGAAAATTTCTATAATTAGCTAACTCATACACTATGTACATAGGTACAGAGAAACTGTCGTTCGAGAAACACAACAGATAATGTCTAACGAGGATCAGGTAAACCTAATAAAACTTTTTCAACCAAGATTATATACAGGGTGTTTTTCCTATTCAACGTATTCAGCTTCTCTATTTTCCTCGTTTGCATTTTCTTCGTCAACATTTTCCTATTCGATGTTTTCTCTTTTTGTGTCATCCATCAAACTCATTGAAACACATCGCCATGAAAAGGACTTATTTTAATAGAGTTAGCATCTCAATATTGCATTAAATTCGAATGTTAGTGCACTCAGTACCCTAATAGATCCTGTATCAAAGATTCACTCTTGACTCTTGACATCAACACTCCACACTTTTCGTAATTAAACTTTGTTTTCTCTTTTAGAAAGAATTTATATCTAAATTCAAAATACACAATAACATTTGTTATTTTTTTTTAATGTTGTCCGTTTTGTTTTGTTCATTTTCAATAAGAATCATAGCCAATTGACTACGTGATGCTAAACCTTTTTCTCGTTGCATTAAACATCGATCATATTCAATTGAATTTAATTGCATATTTCTATCACATTTAATTGATCGATAATGAGCACGTAATGATTGATCAGGAGCACGTAATATACTTATATCACCTAATTGCACAAATAAATCATAAAGATTCTTTGTTGATATTGATATATTATGATATAAAATAAGTTTTTTTACATTTAAATAATCATTCATATAAAGTCCAATATGATCATATGCATATGAATTGAACCATCCAACAGTTTTATGTAAATCAATGGTTGAATTATCTGTTATACTATGTGTACGTGCTATAATATGTGGATGATATTGATAGAAAGCAATTGGAAAAAATATTTGTATATTTTCAATAACATTTAAACGACATCGATTTAAAAAATCTGGATCAATATCAACATATGGATTTGTAAGAAATATTAAAGAATTTGGACGAAGTTTTGTTTGAAAAAAATCAAGTAAATATATTGGTCGAGAATAAAGTGGAATTGATGATGATGGAAGAAGTAATGTATGATATGTTATTATTAGTTGTTTATGTATTTGACGTAGTAAATCAACTTCATAACGAATTTTTTCAAACCATTTTTGTGTTTGAGAATATTCTTCTTTAGTTGCAACAATATGTGTAAGAAGTAATTCGAATTTATCACGGGTTTCTCTATCAAATAGAGTTTTATTAGCATAATGAAGAAAACGAATAGCGATAGATTGTTCATCAGAATGAATTGGTAATATTAGATATAATTTTGTTGTTTCAGTTACAAATGGCATTGGAATTATTTCAACTAGACCTATAATATAATAATATCGATCATTTAAATTATTGTTATTTTTAAATTTTATGGTTAAAAGTTCTATTTTTCATATTGTAAATATGAAATCTTTTCAATAAGATAACTTACCTAATGGTCTCATTAATTCAGCACGTTTAATATATTCTTTTTTATTATCATCAATCAGTAATATATCAACAATATAATGTGTACCTCGTGTTGGATCAAATTGACGATAACCATTGAGTAATTTCTTAAATTTTAATCTTCGTAAACAAAAAAAAACAAATAAATATTTTTGTTAAACTCCTACTATTTTAATTTACTCAGTTCCATATTTTTTTTGTAATTGTTCTACAGAATAATCAATAACTTCATGTATATCTTCATAATCATCATCTGTATAAACGAAAAACACAAATAATAAATAAATCTATAGAATAGATATTATTTCAAATTTCTATAAAATATACCTTTCAATAAATCCATAACATCATTATCAGTCTTTAAATAAATATGTGTTTCAGTGAAATAATCCCAACGAAGAACATCAAAACGTGATGGTGGTTTAAATGGTGGTGGTACTCCAACTGGCCATGGAATATTTCCACAACCTTCAGATGCATAACAAGATAAACGTTCAATTGTTTCTTCATACTTTTTTATACTCTGTGTCATTTCATTGATTTCAACTTGATTAAAATATCTGTAATGTATAACTTTCAATTTTTTTTTCAAATTCAAATAAATCAAAATTCAACTATACTTTTGAAGTTTAAGCATTGTTGCAAGATCATTTATCGGATGAACAGTTAGCGTTTGATTAAAATTTTCAGTTTTAGATAATCTATCAATATCTCCATCGAATTCAAAACGATAATTAACATAAGCATTGAATTGATAATTCTAAAAATTAAAATTATTTTCTTTTTAGTTTTGTTTCATAACTTAAATCTAATAAAAAAGAAAAACAAGAAAATTTACACTAGCTGTATTAACACATGGTAATTTTGCTGCTTTTAAGACACATCGTCCAATATTATCAGTTAAATCTTGTGAATAAGCATTTTTCGTACACCAATCAAGTTCCAGATAAATTTTTCGAAGTACTGACTAGAAATAAATGATTATCGGTATAAAAAACAACATATTATATTTTACACGATATCAAAAGAATAACGTGTTGGAAATTCAAAATCATGGCAAGATATTTTTTGTACATGGTTCAGCAGAGGATGTCTTACATATTCTAAAAAATAATCTTGATAGAAAAACATTTCGAATAATGACATACCCATTTTTTCAATAAAATCGAACGAACTTGACAATTAGACCAAATTTTTTACTCATTATTACTTTTAGCTCTTCAAACTGCTTTGTTTCTTATTGATCGTGTAAAATTTGCTATGAAAAACAATACTTACCATTGTTCAAATAAAATGTGATAAAAAAATTTGATCCAAAGTGGAACCTTGAAAAAAGGATAATATGTCATTTACCTAATCT